GGATCGGACCAGACAAGACCGGAGAGGTGAATCGTTGCTGTCTCCCGGATTCAGTCGCCACATGACCGCAGGAACGTGTGTCAAGAACATAAGCCACGTCGAAGGAGGCCCAAAGTTTCATGGAGACACCGAACAACGAATAGCATTCCAGGGTGGACAGCTCGCACACTCACGAAGAACGTAAGGGGTGGGGGGGTTCCCAGGGTGTAATCCCGGGGCAGAATGCCACCCTGCCGGGACCCATGGCCCGCCCTCTCCCTCCCATTTCCGTCGAGGGCCGAGGCCTCCAGGATCGGCGGCAACGGCCGTAAGGCCTTAGCAATCCGCCGCCCCCTGTTGATTCATCACAGGGGTGCCTGGCGTGCTAGATGATTTCGGTTCTTGGTTTTGGTTCTTTTCCAGAAGAACTCCCCCTGAGGCTCCAGCGCGTCCCGCCGGGGTCCCGGCAGGGAACTCCAGGCCCGCAAACGACCTCAACGTCCGCAAAAAAATCTCCAAGACGGCTCAAGATGGCCTCCAAGACGGCCAAGATGGCCCTCAAGCTCGCCCAAGATGGTCCAAGACGGCCTGCCAGACGGCCCAAGAGGGTCCAGATACGTCCAAGATCGCCCAAGAAGCCACCAAGACGGCCCAAGAGGTCCCCAAGAGGTCCTCCAGGAGGGCCAGAAGAGGCCAAAATCGTTTATTTTCCATAGGGTTTGAAGGATTTTGGCATTTGCTTCTTCTCGGCATTCCGACGGCTCAAGACGGCCCAAGAGGCCCTCAAGATCGTCCCAAGATCGTCCACGAGGCCTCCAAGATGGCCCCATGAGGGCCAAGAAGGCCCCCAAGACGGCCCCAAGAGGGACCGAAGAAGCCTCCAAGACGGCCAAGATGGCGTCCAAGACGGCTCAGATTGCCTGAAAACCCCTCCAAGATGGCCCAAGACGCACCGAAGACGGCCTAAGATGGCCTCAAGATGGCCCAAGACGGCGCAAGAGGCCCCCAAGAGGCCTCCAAGACGAGCCAAGAGCCCTCCAAGAGGTCCTCCAGGTGGGTCCGAAGAGGCCAAAATCGTTGATGATCCTTCTGTTTTGGAGGCCCAAGATGGCCCAAGAGGCCCCCAAGACGGCCCCAAGTGGCCCACAAGACGGCCCAGGAGGCCTTTAAGACGCCCAAGATGGCCTCCAAGACGGCCCTGGAGCATTCCGAGAGGGCCCCAAGTCGGCCCAGAGAGGCCCCCCAAATGGCTTCCGACGGCGTCAGACGGGCCAGGAGCCCACCAAGATGGCCGAAGTTGGCTCGAAGCTGGCCCAAGACGGCCCAAGAGGCCTCCAAGAGGGCCTGAAGGCCCCGAAAAAGCCAAAATCATTGATTTCCCAAGAGTTTTTGAAGGATTGTGGCATTTGCTTTTTGTTCGGCCTTCCGACGGCCCGGGTCGGCCCAAGTGCCCCAAAGATCGCCCAAGAGGCCCAAGACGGCCCCAAGAGGCCCCCTCGACGGCGCAAGAGGCCTCCAAGACGCTCAAGATGGACCCCAAGACGGCCCAAGAGCCCTCCAAGACGTCCTCCAAGAAGGCCCGAAAGGGTCAAAATTGCCTCGAGACGGCCAAGATGCCCTTCAAGATGCCCACGTGTTCCCCGAAGGCTTTCCAAACCGATTCAGGGAACACATGGTCCGATAGCTTGGCAGGTCTGGCCTCAAACTTCGGCCACATAGGCGCTTCCAACAAGGCAGGGGGCGGCGATGATTCGCCGTAGGCGTCTTCGATAGCATTCCAGGGTGGAGAGCCAGTACTCGAAGAACGCAAGGGTACCCCACCAAATTCCGGGCTGATCTGAACCCCAGTGCCGGCTGCAACGTGGCCTGCGTGGGCGACTTTCTCGCAGGCAGGCGTGAGCTGGCGCGGGAAAAGAACGTGCGACGAACACCCCCGCGAGTGTGCGCAGGCAAGCCAAAACCACGGACGCACGCGCGATCATGCGGCAGGGTGATCGTTGCTGCTCGCAGAGCCGGCGATCCCGTGGAAAGCACCGTGCGATGACACACTGCGAGGCGAGGGAGCCAGAACGTGGAAGAGAGAACAAGAGAAAAGGAGACGGCCAAACAAAGCATGCAACAAGGAGAAACAGCCTGAGGTCGCACCGCGACGGTCGCGTGCAATGAACGGTGTGCAAGGACGGAAATTACCAACAACGTCCGTCGACATGGGCAACCACTACATAATGCACGATGTAACTCAAGCGCTACCGCAACAACACGTGATCAATGATACGACTATCCATATACACAAATTATTCCGTATACAGATCTGCATAAGCACATGTGTGCATATATTAAACAATACTACATGCGCAGAGAGCACAGAGAAAGAGAGAGAGAGAGAGAAACAACAAAAAATGTTAAAAGAGAGAGAGAGAGAGAGAGACACCAACAAAAGAGAGAGAGAGAGACGCGGGGTGCATGCCTCCAATACCTCTAAGTATCTGCAGCGGTCGCCTGCGACCTTTCTCACGAACCTTGGCATAGGCGGGGCACCAGCTTTATATATGTGAAGCGGCGCGCACCCGCGCTGCTCAGGGCAAACTGGGCCACTCAAGCGAATCAACCACAACTCCAAACTGTAACAACCTACACACGGAGCGGGGTGGTGCAGATAATACCCGACCTGGTCAAACTTTACCACTGGGAGCGGCTGTTCCCAAATCGAATCCGCGTGCCTCTTTGGGGGAGCCAGGCTGTGTCATGTGTCAATTGCGTTACTTGTTGTTGGTTGTCTCTTCTCTCTCCAGTCCTGTCTCCATTTGTTGTCCACTAGGGGCGCTGGGCGTCAAGAAAAACCCGCGGGGGGTCCCTCCAATTTCTGGCCGCTCTAGGTCACCCTGGATCCGATTTGGACGCCACCGCAGAGCCAAGTGGGCCCCCAAGAGGCCCCGAAGACGGCCCCAGGAAGCTTCGAAGAGGCTGTCAAGAGCACAGTAAGGACGACCGAAAATGGCCTGGGAGGGCCACAAATCGCCCCCGAGAAGGCAAACAGACATGAATGAGCAGAATTCGTGTTTCCATGCGGGTTGCCTGCCAGATGTCTGCTCCCCAAGATGCCAAAAGGACGGTCCACAACGCCCCCGAGATGTCTCAATACGGCCCCGAGGTGGCCCCAAAATGCAAAGGATGCCGCACAAATCGCCCAGGACGGATCAACAAGGCTCCAAGATGGCCCCAAGACGCCCTCAAAATGAGCACCAGAGGCTTCAAGACAGTCTAGAGTCTGATTAAGATGGCCAATGGATGGCCCCTGAGGCTCCAAGATGCCCCCGAGAGGCCACACGATGGCCCCCCAACCTGCTACAAGACATAGCCACCTGGGGGGCTGGCGGCAGTGAGCGCAGCCCTTCAGATCATAGCTTAGCACGTGGAAGGTCATGGTTCTTGGACTGCTGCTCCCCACACTGCCCGCTCCCCCGCGCACTCCGTCCTGCTCGCGCTCAGCCGCAGAGACCTGTCTGACCCTGGTTGCCGGTGTGCCGTGCGGCGCGCGGGCTAGGCGCAGTGATGGTGGGGACGTCGCTCGGCTCGTGTGGGGCGCACGCGGCCGGGCGTGGCGGTGGACCGGCGAGCGCAGGGCGCCCAGAAGGCAGACGTCCGCCATTGCTAGACGGGCCAGTCGAGCCCTTATCGCAGCCCGACCCTGTGAGCGAGTCCGGACGGATTCCCGCGACGGCCTCACGGAGGATCCGAACAGTGAGCCGTCGGGGCTCGTGGACCCACCCAGGCACCGTGAGAATGAAGAGGAAAAACAAGGGAGACGGAGAATGATGGGGTCGAGGAGGGAGGGAGGGAGGGAGCGCCCTGGCCTGGCCCGTCTTAGGGAACCGAAAAACAGTCAGGTCATCGGTGGGCTCTCAGGGAATTGCTCGAGTGCCGCTGGAGCCGCGCGAGCACTGACCTGACCAAGCAGCCGTGGAACTGCCGCCTCAGGGCCACAATGAGTCAGAGTAGTGCTTGGCTCCAAACCCATCTGCTTGGACCCCGTTTGAGAGGCCTGGAGTGCTTGGGCCTCCCAGGCATCACCTCAGGGGACTCGACCAACCCAAACGCCGACTGGACCCCTTGTGTTGACACCGAAGCATCTGCACCTGCTGGGGGCCCCAACACCGTGCGGTGACAGACCGCGCAGTGACCTCACCGCACGGTCCGTTACGTTACCCGAACGGCTCGGGGACCTCGGAGGCCCTGGCAGCCCGAGACGTCCTCGGAGAGCGACATGAGTCCCAAAACCGCGCGGTGATCCTGAGATCCGACGCCGGGAACAAAAGACCGGATCAAAAAGTGCAGCATCGCAAACCAATCGCGACCAGAGCCCCAGGCCCCATCTTTCTGCGCCCTTTTGGCCCTGGGGCCCGAGCTCGGGCGAAAACGCCCGGCGCGAGAAAGAAGTGCAGCGCCCAGCTCTGAGGGGACGCCGGACCCCCGCGGACTCACCGCGCGGTGTCGTCACTGCCGTCGGGGGGCCCGAGATGGGTACAGAAAAAATAGACACAATGCCCAACCACAAATGTGGTCCCAAACCAGTAGCGGCCGCTGTTGGGCAGGCGGCCCTCTGTCTCAAATGGACACGGGCCGCGGCGGCGCGGACAGCGAGTCCTGTTCAAATCAAGGATGGACAGAACCCCCTTTAGTAAAACGTGGTTGAGTGAAAACGTCCTCGGGCCCAACCCTGGCGGGCGCAAGCCTGGAAAATGACGGCCGCCGCACCCTCTCGAGAACCGCAAACGGACAATTCACGAATCGATGTGTCAAGGTGGGGGTCCTGTCCACCCCCGAATGACCAGGAACTGCTGCTGGGCAGTGCACCCCTTCTCTCCGTGCCCACTTCGCTCGTGCCGACTCTGGGGGCCCCCGCACACCTGTGGCGGCACCCTTCGAGGCCACAGGCCAGGCGGCGACGAGGGTGGCGCCGAAAGGGCCTGCCGTCGGGGCGAGCGGAGGCCACGGCGGTGCGGCATCGAGCACCGAAGCGTTCCTGGCGCAGCGCAAGCTCGTGAGCATCGTTGGACCGATCCCTATCCCCGAGGGCGTGGCCCTTCTCCTCCATCCCTTCCCCTTATGAATCAGAGTGAGGGGGACGAACGGTCATTCATTGTCCCTGGTTGCGTGGCTGAAGTGAGAATCCGTGGTGAGAATTATGCTTGTTGCGTTGTTGTTGTTGCTGTTGCTGCTGCTGTTGTTGTTGTGTTTGTGGTTGTGGTTGTTGTTGTTGTTGGTGGTGATGGTGTTGATGTTGTTTTTGTTGGTGTTTTTGTTGGTGTTGTTGGTGTTGTTGCTGTTGTTGTTAATGTTGTTTGTCGTCGTCGCCCCCCCCCCCACGACCACCCGCGACCACCCGCGACCCACCCCGCGACCCACCCGCGACACACTCGCGACACACTCGCGACCCACTTGCGACCCATCCGCGACCTACTCCGCGACCCAACCGCGACCCAACCGCGACCACCGATCCACATTGGTTTGAAGAAAAAATCGGCGCCTGCGGCGGGCTCGTTGCATAATTTGTGAAACTTTGGCGCCTGCGGCGGGCTTCGCCGGAGTCTCGCAGACTGCCGACATCCCCACCGCCCCCTCACTCTTATCCGCGTCTGCGGGGTGCTACGAAACTTCTCCCTGTCGCACCCCGGGTCCAGTGTTTGGGGCGGGCCGGGCGTTTCGCCTGAGACTTCCTCACCATGTATGACTCTGACGCTTAAAAATTGGCACGAATTATTCACTGCGTGGGGATCCCCATATGTGCATCTCCTTGCTGGCGCTCCCTTGGTGGTGGGACTCGGTGAGGACGAATCTGGATTTAAGTGTGACTGAGCTGCCTCTCTCTCTGCTCTCTCTGCTCTCTCTGTCTCTCTCTCTCTCTCTCTGCCCTCTCTCTGTCTCTGCCTCTCTTTCCCTGCCTCTCTCTCTCTCTCTGCCTCTCTCTCTGCCTCTGTCTCTCTGCCTCTCTCTCTCTCTCTGCCTCTCTCTCTGTGCCTCTCTCTCTCTGCCTCTATCTCTGCCTCTCTCTCTCTCTCTCTCTCCTCTCTCTCTTCTCTCTATTCTCTCTCTGCTCTCTCCTCTCTCTCTCACTCTCCCTCTCTCTCTCTCTCGCTCTCTCTCTTCTCTTCTCTTCTCTTCTCTCTCTCTCTATCTCTCTCTCTCTCTCTCTCTTCTCTCTCTATCTCTCTCTCTCTCTCTCTTCTCTCTCTCTCTCTCTCTCTCGCTCTCTCGCTCTCTCTTGCTCTCTCTCGCTCTCTGTCGCTCTCTCTCGCTCTCTCTCTCTCTCTCTCCCTCTCTCTCTCTCGCTCTCTCGCTCTCACTCGCTCTCTCTCGCTCTCTCTCGCTCTCCCTCGCTCTCTCCCGCTCTCTCTCTCTCTCTCTCTCTCTCTTCTCTCTCTCTTTTATAGCTCTCTCCCGCTCTCTCTAGTCTCGGCTCGAGAGTGCCCTGCACTCAGACCGCAGCCGCGACGCGAAGCGCCCCGCCTCGGAGTCAGACTCCCAGGCCTCGCGAGACCGGAGGGGTCCCAGCAGGACCCTACTGATTCGCGTCACCTCTCTCCCCACCAGAGCGCCCGCCGCAATGGCCCCCGGTAAGCCGGAGCGCCGTCGCTCTTCCAAGCAGCCGCCGAGCTCACGCCCTGCTGCCGAAGGGTCTCTCCTCCAACGCAAGCAGGACTGCGTCGCAGCGTTCAAGCAAGCGGGGTCCGACCGCCCCACGGCCGCATACAACGGGCTTGCCGAGCTGAACGCGGACGAGCTTCAGGCCACGTACGACATGCACAAGACCAACACAAAGAAGCTCGGCAGTGCCTTGATCCGCATGTGTGCCGCCAACCAGATCAGCTACACGCTGGATCACCACCAGCGCAGCAAGCCTAAGCGCATTGGTGGTGACACATCACACCCACCAGCTGCGTCCGCACGTCTTCAGGCTGCGGACGCCCAATTCATTGCCTTGGACCCGGCCTTCTGGAAGGTCCCAGTCCTCGCCGAACCCACATCACTTGACGACGGCAAGACGTACAAGCCCAGTATCAGCCTCCACGACTACGAGAGCGGAGAACGGCTGCTGCAACACCACCTCGAGCAGGGTAAGCGTACCACGGGTCAGCTTGCGATTGCTGTCATGGGCCCAAAAAACGATAACTACGTCGGTACCGAGCTCGCCGTCCCCGTGCTGAAGCGTCACCCCAAGGCGCCCAAAGTGGTCCACACGCACGTCCCCGTGACCGTGTACCAGCTGGGCACCAAGGAAGTCGCCTGCACGGAAAAAGTAGCCGTCGCCACCATCGATCCTGCCGACCACGTATGCTGGATTCGGGTGACCATACATGAAACCGAGGCCATCGCCGCAGTCCCCTCCATGCATCAGGCCTTCGAGGATCAGTTCTCGGGAGGTGCCCCCGTGAACGGTGGTCCACGCGCCAAGGGTCCTTTCCGAGGGGACTCCGCTCCACAGGACAAGGCGCGCCAAAACCAAAAGCACAGGGAGTCCAA